ACATGAGGATATTTGCATCTTAGAGTGTCCTTGATTTAACCCACATGGCTGTACTTCTATTCTGCTTGATCATTTTAGATGTTGTTAATCCAGTCATCAGCATGTATTGATGAAATTTTTCAACTTTCAACTATGAATTAAGGCATTAGGACATTTACGGTGAACTTACCTATACAATAATATGTAAACTAGATAATCTTCCTTTTTAGGCCTTGTCTTTGAAGCTCTTGGCATTGAAAAATTATTTGGTCATCACTCTAAGTCAGGGTATTTACCTGGACATTAAATATCTTCTAAATTTCCTGATCAGAAACGCCTTCATTTTTTGAACTAAATTTAAAGGTGAATCACAGACAAATGTGTTTCTCACATGGACTTCAATTTTCCTGGTGATGACTAACTATCTGTGCTTGCAAATTTTACAGGTGGGTGGCTGCCTACAGTAACTTTTATCCTGTGTTAAACCAGGCACAAAAATAAAGATAAATAAGCCATCTAGAACACAGGTAAAGTCCTCTTTCAAATTCAAAGGATCTCTATTAATAGATATTGATGTTGCATAGCACTGAAGGTGTCACATTCCTGTTACTTCACAATATGAAGTTTCCTGATGTTTAATTTATCAGAATATTTTAGAAATGAAAGAGGAAGGAAGAAATATGTGTAGTTAAATCTTAAAGAAAAGGCAAAGCAAATTGAACAAATGTATTTATTGTGGAAATTTTAATCTGTGGGTTTAGTTCAGTCCCTTCCAAGAATAAGCAAATTTGACCTTGTATAGATGTAAAAGATGAAGAAAAAGTATTATTAAATCCAATTTTTTTTTTCAAATATTTTCCCATTAATTTTTCTGTCACTTGTCTCATATACAGCTTTTGCTACTAGTCCTGGGGTTTTTTTGTTAGTTTGTTTTCATGGAGGCATTAGGATTCAAAGACTCGGGTACCCTTGTCCTTAAAACTTTTGACAAAAACGAACTTTTAACTTTCTTATCCTGAGCTTGCTTGTTGCATTGACAAATTCCAAGTGACCGATTGGAGAAAACTCCACATTGCACTCTTCCAAGCTTCCTTTTGCTACTATTTGCTTTGCAGATCTAGATTATAGTACTTCGTAAGTAAGGTCATAGGAGTGACTTGCTGAATTTGAACTTCACAGGTGGTAGAATACAAGCTGGTCAGAATTTTATTAACCTAGAAAGTTGATCTTTCCTCTGGAGTTTAGATCTCCTAACAGTGTAGTCTAAATTAAAAAATTTTCAACTGAGAAACAGTTATTGTGGTCTCTTTTGACAAGATAGCAGATCTGGTATCAAAGAACTGGTAATTGTTTGAAAATAAATTTTACACGCTTGTTGAATGTACTGGGTTTTAGCAAGTAAGCGGTGGTGTGCTTCTATCAGTGATGATGGTGAAATGGCTTTTATTAAAAGCTCAGATTGTATGCTTGCTTCATTGGTGAAGAAAATGTGGAGCTCTTGGTTGAACAAGTTTTCTTGTAATACCAACAAATGGCAACTAATTTGTTGGCAAATGCCAACAAAAATTAAACTAATGCAGGCCAGCTGAGTCTCACAAGTAACTAAAATGTTCTAAAACATTCATATAAACAGACTAGCCTCCTGTAGATGCAGCTCTACTGCTTTGGGCAGCAAATTGTTACACCTACTTGGGATTTCACCAAGTTTTATAGAAAGAAACTTTAATTTGGTGTTAGCCTGAGTACCTCTACACAGTACTGTATGTCTTGGATAGACAACTTAAAGGATGCCCCCTCCATTAATTGGCTAGTACATATGCAGTTACCTGGGCTTTGTTTCAATAGCTGTATTTACAGATCTAATAATTCATGTTCTGTCATATGGCACAATCTGTACAAGCCAAGGGCTGTTAAATGTATTCCAGCATTAAATAAAATATGAATTAAATAAAGTATGTGAAAGGAGATAAAGCTTACCAAGTTAATTTGTATAGTGCTTTCCCAGTCCTTCTCATTGTTCACTCCAGCATTATTAACCACAATATCCAGCCTTCCAAAATGTTCAATTACTTTTTTGAAAGCACCTGTAGTAAGATTCAAGGGTGAAATTTCTTAGCACTTAGGGAAATTAAGATGTAAAAATACAATACATGCATACAAATTAATGTTTTATTAGTTTGCCAAAATGTCTTCACTGTTTTATTAATTACTAATGAGCAACATGCAATTAAAGCCTTTATCTAACCATTCATCAATATTAAACATATTCAGGAAAACTGAAAGGATTAAGATACCATAGTCACCTTTTCATTTAGTTTTATAATGCCTGATAACAGGAGTTAATGAAAGTTCTTAGCACCCATACATTTTGTATTAGATAAGATGTTTGGCACCCTAATCACATAAATGAAGCATTTATAGCTTGACTTGTAATAGTTTGATGTAGATAGTGAATTCAGTGTTTGGCACCTTCCATTTTAAATGAAAAATAAAAACTTCATGTGTTCCTAACAATTTTCTTGGTTCAGTTTAAATTTAACCTAAGAACACAATTCTTATTCAGTGATATAACTAATATGAATCTTTCAACTACAAATAATTCATCATAATTCTTGTTTAAATGTATCCATTTATGAATAAGTTTTTATACATCCTACTTGTCAGGTAACTTTAATAATGTGTTTCTCAAATTCAAATCTTCTTCCTGCTGTTGATGAAAATAGTGACCTGTCTTCCAAAGAATTTCCAAAATAAAGTACCACAATGACATTGTGTTCTCCCAGGTGACAGTGTTTGAACTAAGATAAAAGATGTGTATGGAAAAACATGATGATGTCATAGTGATGAGACAGCTCATCTAGCTCTGCTTTGACAGGATAGTTGGATGAGATGACCTCCAGATGTTCATTCCAGACTAAGATTTTCCATGATTGCAGACATTATCTGACATGTATATATAGCTTGTTTGTTTTTCCCACTAAATATTTATTATTATGTAACCCAAGACACCACTACCCCCATATTGTTTTAAAAAACAACATTTGATGACTGACTAAAAATCTAGAGTATTTCAGGTATACTGAAATTATGCTTGACAGGCCTTAACGGAACCACTTCACTAAAAGGTGATCCCAGGACCATCTTAATTCTCTGATCTTTAGTCTTTGGCTATTAGTATCAACCAGGAACATAGCAGCAGCTTTCAGATATCTACCTTTGTAAATCCCTGTAACTGCTGCAAAAAAGTTTTTTTCTTGCACCAGACGGTTGGTACTCTTACAGACTTTTCTTTGCCTGAATGTTGCAGGTACATCACAGTCATCATCTTGTCATAACAAGAGTTGTGCAGCTGATGGGAAAGGTTTTATTTGTCCAGCTGTCCTTATTGGACAGATTTTTCTAATCTTATTCTATACTAGAATATTTTAATATTCCTGAAGTCTTTATTTTTGGAGCTCTGCCTTTACGGCTTTTATTATGTTTGCTGCTACTTCATTCTCTGCTTTCTCAACTTAACTCTTCAATCTCTTCTCATCTTTCCAATCCTGCATCAGCAAGGGCAAATGAAAACCTTTGGCTTTATTAGAAGCAGAACTGATTATTTATATTGGTTTCAATGAGTAAAATAAATACAATTTGGGTCCTCAATTAGCTTCCAAATTTTGGAAACTGGCTCTCTGATTCTCTTTTAAGCCTTCTTTAAGTAGCGTCTTTCATCAACCTCATTATTAATAGAATCTTTTGCCTTCAAAAGTACTTTTGCCAATTATTGATTTATTAAATTCACACAGTCTTGACTAATTGTAATTTTCTAGTTTACACATTGAGAAAAGAGACAAATACTTTTCAGCTCTTTGCATATCTATGTTAAAATAAAGAATGATTACCAAACTTGGAATAGTTCTAGTAAAAGTTTACCTGCCTACAGTATCCCATCTACTACCTATCCACAAAAGAAGAATCTCGTTATAAATTCTTGATAAAGTTATCACTCACACATCAGTGTAAACTGACTTGTTCTTCCCTTTTTGAATGTAGAATAATGCTGTGTTTACATTGCACACTAGTTAGTGTTTATGGAATCATAAAAAATAAAAGCAGATGATAATATGCAATATTGAATGAAGAAAAAAGAAAAACAAAGAGGAGGACCCATTTTAAAAGAGAGATAAGAAAAACAATGGAAAGTAAGTACAAACAGCAGTTATATGTGAGCCTCCTAAATATTCATGGAAAGCAAATGTATAGTGATTTTTCCATAGTGGGGCAAAATAGAAGATTTTTGTGGGGGTTTATGTGAAAGATCCACCAGAGAAAAAAAGGACAGGCAAGATTTGAAAGTAGATGAAGTAGCTGACTTCCTATCCATAAGCCTTATGTACTTACAAATACTAGTTCTAGTACTGTGACTTGTTTCATACCGAAAGGGCTGAAGTTAAAATTACAGGAACTTCATTCACACACATAACCTTTAGCATAAAAAGCAATCACAGGACTGGACACATCCACTAAGAACTTTAAACACTACAAGTGAAATTAATCTAAGTTTATTAAGTGATGGCTTGTACTTACAAATAAAAAAATAGGAAAATAAAACAGTAACACCCCTGCCCCCAACAAAACCACTAAACCATACCCCAGAAACCCCAAAGGATAGTAAGACATGATTGCAAATTTATGCTAAGAAACCTGTAGCAGGAATAATGCAGTATGAAAGAAACATAAGCAGCAGCCACCCGTTTTTGCTCTCACTCCTTGCGAGAGCCCATTTTGATCCTACTCTGATTGTTCTTGTCCTGCTAACTTGGTTCCAAAACCTCCCTCGCTGACCTGTCCTGCTCACTCCAGTTCCCAGTGCACACTCTGTTGGTCCTGCACTAGCTTAGCACTAAAAAGAGGAGGAATCATGAGAGAGAAAGCACAGTGGAATAACACCCACGCTGCAGCACATGCTATTCCTACCCCTAGGATGCTTTTTCTTGCTCCTAGGTGACTCCTCCCACTTAGAGGAAAAAGTCAATAATGAACCTAGCTGATAAAAAACTTTGCAGATTAGAGCAGACCTCAAATTTAAAGTCCAGCATCTCTTTTACAGACAGACAATGTAAAGCTTTGGAATTAGGCATAATCATGCTAGCTCAGAGCAGTGAACAATATTGACGAATTCTGGACTAGCTGCAATGTTTTGTGAAAGAGGAATGGATATGCTCAATCACTGCTGTTGAGAAAGCGGCCAGTGTAGTGAATAAAAGCAGAACTAAAAATGTTCACATCTAGCTTGACAAATGAATCTGGGGAAAGGGCACTGACAAAAATGATGTCAAAATCTGAATCTGAGTCACTACCTATGAATGTATCTCTTTAATAATGAAACTTTGATAAAGTGATGTGCCTGTTAGGAAATACTGTGAAGGGTACATCAACATTATACAATACTCTAAGAACCCATTAGGGAACATAAGTGAAACATAAATGCAAGTCATACAGACTCTGCACGATGTGTGTGGAACGTTATCAACCCACATTTAACACTGTAATAAAGCAATGTGCCATCTTTTGCCAATTCTGCTTTCAGCTACAGCAGCACACATTGAAAGTAAAGTGTGAAGAGCACTGCAACCCCGAGCAGAATTTATTACTCCTATGATGAGAGAATGTAGCTTGGAGTCTGTACTGAAGCCTCATAAAAAGCAGGTCCGTGATTTAAAGTTTATATATATTACTCATAAAATAACAATTATCTTCTGCAGAGGCTTTTATGCAAAAATATCACACACAGCACTCAATGGAAATTATTTCTTTGGCTTTCCTTTACATTGTGCCAAGTAACACGGTGAAATACGCGCATGCTGGTAGTAATATTTCACGTCTGCAGGTTCAGAAACAAATCCTTTTTTGAGTCACTGTCAGAAGCGATTGGGAGTAGGCTGTCCTCTAGAACCCTTAATTGCACACTTATTGGTGCAGCAGCCCAGGCTCTTTCAGGTTGCTGCATGTTAATCCGGAGCACAGCGCTGACAGTTTCCTTCTTACCTTTCAGCTGCTCCTGGTCCGTAACGTCGCACTGGATGAACACCGTCCTCTGCGCTTCGAACTCCTCGTCCAGGGCCGCCTTGCTCTCCCGTCCGGCCTCGGAGTTGCGGTCCAGCAGGGCTACCTGGGCGGGGAGGGAGGGAAAGGCTGAGCGGCGAGCGGACGGACGGACGGACG